GTATAGGAAAGCAAGAGATTTCTGTGTATTAATTTTGTATCCTGCAACTTTGCTGAATTCAGATATTAGTTCTAGTAGTTTTGGAGTGGAGTCTTTAGGGATTATATGTACAATATCATGTCATCTGCAAATAGTGACAGTTTGACTTCTTCTTTACCAATCTGGATGCATTGTATTTCTTTATTTTGACTGATTGCCATGGCTAGGACCTCTAGTGCTATGTTGAATAAAAGCGGGGAGAGTGGGCATCCCTGTCTTATTCCTGGTCTTAGGTGAAAAACTTTCAGCTTCTCGCTGTTAAGTATGATGTTGGCTGTGGGTTTGTCATATATGGCCTTTATTATGTTGAGGTGCTTGCCCTCTATACCCATTTTCTTAAGAGTTTTTATCGTGAATGAATGTTGAATTTTCTCGAATGCTTTTTCAGCATCTATGGAGATGATCATGTGGTTTTTGTCCTTTTTGTTGATGTGGTGGATGATGTTGATGGATTTTCATATGTTGTACCATCCTTGCATCCCTTAGATGAATCCCACTTGATCATGGTGTATGATCCTCTTGATGTTACTAATCCTGTTTTTCATCTTGAGCCATCACTTCTTGTTAGTGAATCATATTTTGTCATGTGTAAGATTTTCCATATAAAGAGCATTTATAATCAAGATAAGTTATGCTCAAGTTATTTACAGTCAGTAATATATCTATAATATGGATTTATTAGCAAATGTGCCAACATATTTTTCCTGCCTTTAGTTTTACACATATAATGGTAACCCTAAAAGAAGTTCACAATTACAAAAATAGTACTCTAGGACTCAGCACAACCATTTTATAGGAAGAAACTTTATTTCATGTTGTGAATGCAAATTTTAGTAAAAATTTTGTTACCAAATTTGTTACGATTTCCAAAGCATTATTTCAACTACTCAAAATAAAACAAATTTATCAGGATGTGATATTTCTATATGTGCCACTTGAGAAACACATGCCAAAAGGTAACACATTTGTTTAATTTCATTAGTTCCAAGTGAACTGGTGGATAAGTCACCATTTTAGGTCTTTATAATATTGCCATTCAAACATCCAAGTTTCAGGGATAATCAGGAATGGGTATGACAATGAAGAGATATCAGGCGAGTTGGGGGAGGATTTCTAGTCCATTGGGCTTACTATGCCCACCTCACAAACTTAAAGCAACAAAATCTGAATTGATGGTGCAGTTTTAATTCATAGTGTGGTTCATGAGCACTTGAGAAGCAAATGTCAAAGCAAATGGCATCTCTGGGATGAAATAAAGGGGCTGTCCTGACAGATAATCTGGAGAGTACATCAACAGATAAAGATCCTGAGCATTGTAAGTCAGGGAGCACTGTTGGGAAGTAGATATGTCCACTGATAAACAAGGCTGGAAAGAGCTAGTAGTTTCAGAGAGAAGAAACTTCTTGATAGCTTTAGTATTGTACTGTGGTTTAGAAATAGCTAAGAGACTGATCCCTGGAGACAAGTTAAATGTTTTCAAGTGAATCTGCATAGAGAAGTGGTAATTCTAAATAACTAAAATTTGCAAAGCCACCTTCTATTATATGACTACCACTCTGTTTTTGGCCTGATAATTATGGCTGCATAGATCTGGTAATTAGATCCATGATTCTGATCCAGTTCACTATGGTCACTCAATAGAATTTTTGGGTCAGACATCATAACCAAGAGTAAAACAGAAAAAATGTCCTGGGTTATATGTCTAGACTCCAAGGAAAGGGAGATGGTGTTTTACAAGTTAGGAAAAACAGATAGTTCTTCCTTAATACTTCTCCTTTTTCTTCATACTGGAAACAAGTTTTAAGGAAAAGAAATACACATAGAGATTTACAACTAGAAGATGCCATCAAGCTTCTTCATTTCTATAGACTTTTGAAGCCCAGTGATTTGCTCAATGTCCAATAGTTACCTGGTGTCTAGCCTGCTTTATTAATCAATGGGTGATTTACTGTGTTCTGCTCATAATTCCTGCTTGTATCTACTTATAAATATTTCTAGTGTTAAAGTTCATGTCTTTTATGCTATGAGACTAGTCAAGGAGAGCAACTCTTAGTTTACTTGGCCACATAAGGTGAAATCTTGCCAGTTTTTCTGGGCAACACATAACAGTTGGGTCACATCAGGTAGATCCTTGTGAAAAGAGTCTAAGAAAACAACTCAAAGCTAAGCCTTTCCCCTCCTTCATGTCTCATGATAGGTGTTCCTTGCAAGATGTCCTATTTGAGTTTTCAGTTTCAAGGAACTCAAACTCTCTGGATGTGTCAGCAAACATGAAGATGGAATGAGCTAATATGGAGCCAACTTTATCTGTGATCACCAACCAAGTTAGTAGTATTTGGTATTCGCTGAATATTTACTGTGAAATGCTATATAAAAGTGAGAAGCTGAATGTTGACATTTGATATTTGTTGAACATCTTATACAATGTCATGTCTGCACTTAGCATCAAGCAAGTCTTCCAGTATAGATTGTTTTGGTATTACCTGGGATTCAGACATGCTGGTAGCCTCTCTTCCTTCTTGGAGGTGACGATGAGATTAATGTTAGTCCCTCTCCCAAGATGAAGTCCTGCCCCAAGAAGCATCACCTGCACAAGGGTTAGATCGGCCACCCTGTGTGTGTCTTGTGGTCGGAGTGTGTGTCAGGAAACCAGCCTTAGGTATAACTTTCCCTATCACTGTGAGTAGTGTGGGGTCAGCTTACAAAACTGTTTGCTTATACTCTTTTGAGATTTGAGCCTGCTTCTTTGAGGTCAGATGGGAATTTTCCAGAAGTTCATAGTCATCTTGCATGTTGGGGAGACTTTGTTTCATGTCCCCAGGAACCTTTTGGACCTGAATTCCAGTGCTGTTCAGAGAAACCCTCTGGCCCCGGTATGCTTGAGCCTGGCGTTTACAGATGCCAAACTTGCTGAGCAGCATAAATACATCTCTCTGGAAGGCCTTTGTGAAAATAGCATAGAGGAATGGATTGGCACAGGAATTAAGTGGATAGAAGAGAACCAGTAAGATTTTGGAGTTGGTAACAGTGATGAGAGGCTTGTTCATAAGTGCTGACAGAGCATAGAAGGAGATTGGGGCCATACATATGAAGTCAGTGAAGATCAACACAGCCATCCTTTTGGCAATTTTGGTGTCTTTGTCTCCTGGGTTGTACTGGGGATTTCGGACTGTGGTATAGATCTTTACATAACAAGAGCAGACGACGATAAAGGCTACTATGTTGAGCAAAAGAACAAGGATAATATATGCCAGTGCAAGAGGTGTCTCTGTGTCCATGGGAAGGCAGATGCTGACCTTGGCATAGCTGCTTATCCCCACCAAAGGGAGCAGGGCGAGCAGGAAGCAGCACGCCCAGCCCCCGACCATGATGGCACATGCGTGTCTGAGGCGGATCTTCCGGTCCGGGCGCATGGCGAAGGTGATGGCATGCCAGCGTTCCAGGGTGATGACCGTCAGTGTGTACACCGACAGCTCGCTGGCGAAGACAGTGAAGAAACCAGCCGTGTTGCACCCAGGGCCTGTCTGCCAGTCAATGGCATAGTTGTAGTACTCAGAATGAGTGTAGAGGTCTACGGAAGCGATGAGGAGCAGATACAGCCCCATGCAGAAATCTGCAAAGGCCAAGTTGCACATGAGAAAGCGAGGGACAGTCAGTTTGTAGTGGCTGGTGAGGAGGATGACCAGGACAAACACATTGCCCAGCAGAGCCAGCAGACTAACAAACCACACCACTATTCTCAGGAACTTATAGCCCATTATGTCTTCACAGGGGTTGAACTCATCCGACTTGGGGGTACACACCATGTCTTCATTGCCCCCACACACAGTGTAGTCATAATGGCTATCAAAGGCCTGTAGGGTCTCTTCCTGTAGGTTTTTGAGCTTCTGGCCAAAACCAATGATCTCATCCTCTTGTTCTTCAAAGAAGATGTAATAATGAGAGTCGCTACGGGTATCCTGGAACTTGGAGGCTTCCTTGTACCCAGCCCTGCTGTCATCTGGGTCCTCTTCATAGGCCTGGTAGAAGGGGCTGTTCAAAGCATTCACAGATTTTCTCTGACGCAGGCTCCGAATACTGCTCTCGTTACACATTAAGGACTCAAGGATTCTGCAAGGCAACAGAAGTAAGTTACTGCTTGCTGAAAACCCACTAATGGTCCCCACAGCACTTAGCAAAATATGTAGAATGCATACTTTGATATGATCTACATGATTCTTTAAGGTTCTACACGATCTGCTCAGGCCCATGTCTCTTGCATCATTTCCTATTGTGCTCCCCTCGCCTAGTGTCTTCCAGTGACACTGGCTCTTATTTGTCATCTGCAACCAGTTCAAGTGCAGTAGTGAGAAAAAAAGCATGGATGTTGGAGCCGATCTGCCTAGGTTAGCACCTGGCTGTACTATTTATTAGCTGTTTTACCTTCGGTAGGTCTATGATCATTGATTTATCCATTTTTAAAATGAGATAATGAGAGTATTTCATATGGGTTGTTAAAAGATCAGACGGGTTTATGTTTTTATAGCTCTTACAACAGCAGAACATTGTTAGTACCATATATGTATATATGTTGTTGTTATCCCTCTCCAGAGTAATAGAACTCTCATGATCCCTTTGCCTGAAAAATTCATGCCTGCATCTACTCATTATTCACTTTTAAACTCAAATGTCCCTTTCTCAGAGCAGTCTTTCTTAATCTCCTTAAAAAATGACCCTACTCCTGTGTTTATTTCCTTCATAGCACTATCTGATACTTTACTTGTTTGCTTGTTTATTTTCTGACTTCCCTTCAAGAATGTAAACAAAATGCAAGAGGGCTCTTCTTTGTCCTACTCATTGTGTGGATAGGATTGTATCAGGCCCATAGTAGGTGCTTAATAAATATTAGTTGAACAGATGAATGAATGGATATTATCATGCAGACGTGCTCATGGCAGTAAAATTTAGTCCACAGCAGAAGAGATGCTTTAACTTGCTTCAGCTGATAAGCAGATGTTGATTTATCTACCGGGCTCTGGGTAAAGTGACCAATGGAGAAATCTGGACCCTGCCCTTGGCTTTCGCCTACCAGCCATCCTTGGTCCTTTCCTACTCAGGGCCACATGGCATCAGTATAGAGCCTACTATCACCATTCCCACTCCTAGTTTTCTGCAGGTGTTAATGCCTTTATTGGCCTTCTTTGCACAGCTTTTCAGCTTTCTTATTTGCTTCTGCCCCACAACTAGATCCCAGTTTATTCCTGACTGCAAGTGTGAGTGCAGAAAGTCAACCAGAGGATTTTATATAGAAACCGAGAGGGAATGAATAAGCAACAAATGAAGGTGGTGTTAAGAGAACGGGGGATTGCTCAAGACACAAAGGGGGAAGTAACGCAGAGAGCATTGTAGGTGAAGACAAGATTCAAAAAATGCATGGAGAGAAAAAGAAGGCCATACCTCCTTTGCAGCCTCGCAAGCATCCTGATGATAAATTAATGTATATCACAGCTAATATTTAGTGAGAACTTATAATACTCCAGATCACCATGATAAGTGTTTTCTATTCAGTTTCTCATTTAATCTTCTCAAAACCTCTGAATGATAGCATTATGATCTTCATTCACAGAGGCTCAGAGAGGTTAGGTAAGTAGGCTAGGATAACACAGCCAGGAAGTGGCAGAGCTGGGGTACAAATCCAGGTGACTCCAAAGGCACCCACATGTCACCATTAAGCTGTGACATTTACAAAGCCTGAATTGACCAGGTAATTCAATTGCTTGTATTTCTAAGTTTGCCCTCCTAGTTGTGGCATCTAATATGTTTTTGCAGTATCTAATGTGTGTTGCATTTGGAGGCCAGAAACCATGTATTGCAATCTCTGCAAGATTCTACATGATCTGGTCATTCCTGTCTCTCCTATTAACCTCCCCCTCTTCCACTGCAATCCAGTGACACTGATCTTGTTTCTCATCTATAACCATTGGGAATCTGCAGAGTCATTGTGTCCTGTGTATTTCATGTTTCTTATGCATGCTTCGATTTTTTCCACTTGGTTTTCAAGCTACAAAATTTCTTTCCCAAACTTAGAAACTAATTCAACGTCCATCAAAGCCTTTGTCACTTATTTCAGACACCTTCTACTTACCCTCTGATTTTCTTCTCGTTCTTAAAAGCACAGCAGTGGCTTGGGTAAGAAAGGTCTGCCCGTGTGAGATGAAGGAAACTCAAGGAAAGTGGAAGTTTCTTTAGAGTCCAAGTGTTCCTTGCAGTCAATTCCTTCAGGTGTTCCAGGCCTTTGGATGGCAGGGTAGTAACACTGGTATAAGAGACATCCCTGGGAGGGAGAGCACAGAGTAACACAGAGAAGTGGTGAGCAGCCAGGGCCCTCTAGTTCTTGGCCAGAAGGTCATAGAGCCCTGAGATTAAGAAGGAGATGGCATGCTCTTTTCTGCTATTGAATATGCATTCCAAGGTCTTTACATACTGTCACTGGTCTAAGGAGCGATGTTAGGTTTCTACGTTGATGTGTTACAGGGGACTCCCATTTTTAATGCTTGGAATGCCATTACCCATCAGTACAAATAATGCTTTACAGACATTACATTTTAGCCATTACAGTACATGCAAACCCTTGGAATCAGAGACAGATGTCAGTTTTACTCTAGAAAGCTACACCATGTATTTAAGGGTCTCAAGTGACAAGAGAAATGTATTTGAACAGGCTCAAATGGGCTGAAATTGCTCTCAGTCTCTGTGGGGAATAGGGCTTTGGGATTCACAAGCTGCTGTCTGATATGAATCAACACCAGTATCATGAAAATCTTCTCTTAATATGCAGAATCTGGGAGTCATACTGGTTACATGGTGAATTCATGACTCAGAATAAACACCTCACAGTTTGTTTAGAAGGCTGAAAATGTATTCCTGGAAAGAAAACTCCAGTATTTACATCAATAATCTGAAATGAGATTCAAGTCACATTTGAAAACAATGGGGAATGTGCTGAGGCTGGGGACAACATACAAACATGCGTGTTCGTTACTCCAGAAGAATTGCTCCATGGCTTTCAGCGCAGCATTTCCTGTTCTTTTCTCAGTTCCAGAGAGGCCAGGTGACATAGCTTGCTCCATCATTTTTATTTGCACTCAATAATAGCTCGAGCAAAACCATGAATATTTAACCTAATGTATTGCATTTTATATTTTATCAATTAAAATATTCACTAAATATTCCTTGTATTTTTATGTATTTTATAATTTTTTACAATTACATTAAAAATATTTCATATAACTAGTAGTGTCTCATTAGCAAGTGGATTCCAGTATTTACAACTTCTTCTACCACATTATTATAATTGGACTTAGCTGGGATTTACATTTACAGAGTTCAAGGTTGCTAGAACTTGCTACTAAATTTTTTATAAACACAAAGCTCACGCATTAATGCCATTTTGACGGCAGAACTGTGATTTTCAGGGAAGAGTGCCACGTTTGTTATTTTGTTTTGCATTTAATATAAAAATCTTGACTCAGCATTTCCCAAACTTTCCTGGTGGTAAGAATTACCCTTGGCACTTGTTACCGTCTGATCCCCAGGTGATTTTAACATCAAGTGAGTACAGTTGGGAAATGGGTACAAATGAACAACTTTGCAGCTAGTGAGAGAGTTGAGAAATCTTGCAGCTAGCCTTAAGTGCAATTCTGAAGTAAATGAAGCTGGACTTTGCCCTCCTCCTGCATCTGTCCTTTTAATGCACTTCTTTCTCTTTAGCCATGCTGTCTTCAAGGTGTGGCCCTTTTTTCTGGAAGCAGTTGATGTGTCTCTTCATCCAGTGATGCTTTCATGTCAGTGAACATCAGCGCTTCTCTTGACTCATTGTCCTTGCTCTGCAGTCTAGTCTGTTGGATACACTGATTGTGTGTGTTCAGCTGAAAGACTTTATCCTTCCAAGTAATATATTTAATAGGTATTTCTTGAGAAAACATTTTAGCAACATTCCGTGTACTGAGTGACAAACAGTCCAAAACTAAGTAGCATCAAACAACAATCTTTTGTAAGTAGCATAGCTTTTGTGGGTCAGGAACTTGAACAAGCATGGCAGGGATGGCTTGTCTCTGCTCTGTGACCTCTGGAGCTCAGCTGGGAAGACATGGAGGCTGGTTGGGGGTCGTCTGCAGGCTTCTTCACTTGCATGTCTGGACTAAAGTTTGCTAAGATGACTCAAAGCTGAGCTCAAGAAGAATTGTGGATGTGGACTGTCTAGAGGGTTGGGCCTCTCCTATCACAGCAGTCACGTTCTGAGACAGAGCATCCTGAGAAGAAGCCTCTGGAGTGTCCCAAAAAGCCTGATAGATTCAAGGGCAGGAGACATAGAAGCCACCTCATGATGGGAGGAGTGTCGAGGAATTTGGTGCCTTATCTTAAGCTGCTGTATGATCTGTGTGGTGGGAATAGCACTGAGGCAGATATTTGGTGAAAATGCACCACTCTGCTCATCCATGTTTCCGGTCCAGGAGCCATATTGGCCAGCATTCAGAATCACCTGCAATACAGACTCCTAGGCCTTACCCCACACCAACTGAACTATCATCTCTGGGCCCAAGAATCTTTATTATGCTTTCTAGGTAACAGAATCTCATCTCAATTCTCAAGGGCATTTTAGTGAAGCAAGTGGGTTTAAAGTTAAGACAAAGGAACAAGGCATGTTGTATCCAAACAGACCCAGCAAGCCAAAGGTGTAACCATATATATAATTTCTGTCTAGAGTTCTTAGGTTCAGTGTTCTAGGAGCTTTTTTTCTGCCTCTTATCTTCAGAGTTCTGGAGTCTTTGAATGCAGATCCAGATGCAGCAACTCTCCAGGCACTCATTAGGAGTCTGGGAGGGAGGAATTGATTCTGTGGTTTGTGTGATGTTCTGCACCAAGCACATCCCAGGCCTCTAGTTGGACCCTTTAGGGCTGAATAGAGAGGGTGCTTAGACAGGCATGGAGAAAGTAGATGTCAGAAAATGTGCATAAATTTTATGGCAGAAACATCTGCAGCCTAATGGGTACTTGGTATACAGTAGGTGTTCAAAATTTAATTTCTTTCTTGCCCCAATTTGGGGTTCATCTAAACTCAATTCAGAAGCAGGGTACCCAGAAAACATAACTCCAGTCCAGATATTAACTTATATATCCAACTGCTTATATGACATTTCCACCTGGATGCCTCACAGGGATCTTCAACTTAACAGGTCCACTCCAAACTTAACTTTTGATCTCACATGCCCAGTTCAACATACTCCTCCTCCATTCAACCTAGAAGAAAACCTACGGAGTTGAACTTCAAAAAATCTCGAATCCATTTATTTGCTTTGTATCTCCAATGTAAACTTTGCAGTTCAAGCTAATGTCATTTCTTCCTGCAATAGCTTTCTTGTCTACACCTACTCCTTTCCAACCATTTTCCACACAGCAGCCAGAGTAGTTATAACATACGTGTTGAATAAGGTCACTCTTCTGCTTAAAACTTGCAGTGACTTTCCAATGTACCATGAATAACATCTCCTCTTCCTATCATGCCCTTCAAGGTCCTGCAGATCTGGCCCTTGCCTGTGTCTCCAACCTCGTCTCAGGGGCCCAAATTAGAATCTATCTGGAGCCATCTCACTCCCCACTGGTATAAGCCACTTGATGTAGCTCTGAGTAGCCACTGAGCCTGTTGCTCCTGAAGTACTTCTGAGGGCTGACTGCTCCTGATGCAGGCTGCGCCACTCATGCTACTTTGGTACTTACAGAATCAAGCAAGGGGAACAACTGCTTTTTCCCTTTTTGGGGATTTAACCTCTTGCAGAGATCTGCAGCTGTAATCTGACAGTCTTGGTGTTATCAGAAAGGAATGTAGGAACTCCTTTATACTTCCTATGGACGTACCACTGCCTCTCCACTCAAAGTATCCCAAATGGAGTGATTCTTCCCTCCAAGCCTGTTGGTATTTCTTTATTTCCTGTCTCCTGTCCAACATTGTCCAGAGCTTGTGTCCTCACAGAGTCTGTTTTACCCTTCCTCTACTTTTGTGCCACGAATATTCATAGTAAAATGCGATAGAGCTAGACCCTCCACCCCCATCAGATGTCAGCTCAGCTGTTAATATCTACAGTTTCATGGTTCTCATTACTATCACCTTAGTTTAGGTCTAAATTACATTTTGTCTTGAGTTTTGCAAAGACATTCTGACCGATCTTCCAGAAATCTTCTACCAATTCCATCTTCAGATATAGGACAGAATATTCTTTTTAAAACTTGGATCTCGTCATATTGCTTTCTAGCTTGAACCCATGGTTCCTCCAGGGCTTACAAAATAAAGTTCAAGCTTCTCTGGAGAGTAATCCCACTATCCCCAGTGGGAGGTTCTTCTGAATCCCATGTAGAGTTCTTTCTAGATTTCCTCCCTCACTTCACTGGAGCACATTTCCAGGCTAATTTCTTAGAAAGGTATAAGAGGGAGATAATTTCTGAGTCCTTGCATGTTTGAAAATGACTTTTTTCCTTCCCTTACATTCAACTGATACTTAACCTGGTTGTAAAATACTAGGTTGCAAATCATTTTCAAAGTTCTGAAGGCTTTACTCTAGTGAATTCCAGCACCTCCTGTTGCTTTTGTTAAGAATGATGTGACTCAGGTTCCTGTTCTTTGGTTATTGGCTGTTTTTACTCTCTGGTAGCTTTTATGGCCTTCTCCCTCTCTGTCCCTTTTTACTGAGATATAATTTTTGGCTTTATTGAGATATAATTGACATGTAACATAAGTAAGTTTAAGGTGTACAATCTGGTGCTTTGATACACATACGTATTGTGAAATTATTATATGGCCTCTCTTTGTCCCTGGTATGAGGCTTCATGAAAGTATCCCTTGATATGGATCTTTTCCCATTTATTGTGCTGGCCACTGTGGGTGGGGGGACCCCTCCAATCTGCATACCTGGGCTCTTCAGCTCTAGGAAAATTTTTGGTATTGTTTCTAGGGTAACTTACTCCTCTGATTTTCTTTGTTTCCTCTCTGGAATCCCTAGTAAGTGGAAAAGGAACCGTCTTGATTCATCAGACATATCTCCATTTTTTCTTATAATTTTCTCTTACTATTTTTATTGAATCTTCTTAAAGAAATTCTTGACTGTTTCTTCCATTTGTTCTACTAAATTAAAAAATGAATATTAAAATTTTGTTTCCAGCTTTATTGATGTATAATGGATGAATAAAAATTGTATATATTTGTGGTGTACAATGTGCTATTTTGACATATGTATACATTTTGAAGTAATTACCACTATCAAGCTAATTAACATATCTGTC